TGTATTCAACATGAAATAGAGATTCAGAGGAAATTTTTGCTGACAATGAGATAAATTTTCCTGCTTAAGCTGAAAACTCTTCAGAACTTCTGGAAAAGAACAATTGGACTTTTCATCCATAGTTTCCAATGGTCTTATTGCTAGGAATTTTTTCCCATTTTTGAACAGAATCTTGTCCGTATCAGAGCTTGCTTATGTCAAAAGAATTTCTTGCTATAAGAAAAACACCACTTCAACTATATTAAACCGCTTTCTACATTTGAGATACTCTGACAAAATGCGTCCTGGTATCAATTTTAGTCTGTTCAAATGTATTTGAAAATTTTTTTGAAAAGAAAACCGTCAGCATATTGTAGAATTTACCTCAGAACCCCAAAATAAGAAGAAATCAATAGAAGCGCTTATGCGGCCATTATGATTACACATCCACTTTTGGAATGATATAGCAAGCATTCTCTCAGCTCTCAGTTCAATAAACCTACGAAAACATCAAATCAAACTGCATTTCAAAAAAAAGATTTCATTCTTTTTCAATTTTCTTTTCAAAACTCTCACCAATCACAGAAATGATCTTGAGCGAAAAGAACCTCGTCGGTTTTATGTGTATCAAATATCTAGTGCAGTTTTTGACAGTACCAATCTTGAATCTCAACTTGAAATCAAAACTTTTCCAAAAATCACGAAAATTTTCAAATTTCTCATCACATTCGGGGTTTATCATGCGTCAAAGCATCCTCTTCTTTTCCCAGAGCATTAAAGTTCTAAGGAATACTTTGTTTTTAAGATATAAAAAACCTTTTTAAGAGGACAGAACACCGAGTCAACTTTTTACGCTTTCCGAAGATTGAAAAAAATTTTTTAGAGGTTGATTTGACAATTGAAACCATTGCTAAATTGTTTTTTTCTACAAAAGGTCACAGTTGATTTCACTTGACACAAAAGCAAATTTTTCTTTTCGAAGGAAAAACAGAATTAACAGTTTTGTAGATTTAAAGCTTCCATAAGGCAATCATTTTAATGATCGAGCTAATTTCGCGAATAAGGAGAACCAGTTTTGAATGCAAAATCGCATATTTTTTGTGCAAATCAAAACCTAGATGATTTGAAGAAAAAAAGTCTGGCTAGAAAAAAAACGACATGTATCAGAGTAACTTGTTTTCAAAGCTTTCACCCTCAAATTTTCAATCAAACTCTGTTCCTCATACCGAACAACGCTGCCTTCCTGTACGATATGATAGATTCGCAATTTCTCTTTACAAATTAAACGACTATTTGAGCTTTGCCACTAGACTGGAGCCAGCACAATGGAAAAAAAATGAAATTGCTAATGAAATTTTCGCATCCGCTGAATTCACCGACAGAAATCAAAGCTCGGCCAAGCTTTCTTTCTAGACGTCTAAATTCTACAGGAAGCTTATAAGTTTTCATTAGAACAGATCAACAAAAGTGTACAACCTAAAATATCTAAAATTCTATGTTCTTCTCACATACCGAGGAAATAAAAAAGGAAGTATTCAGACGTGAATAGTTTTCTTTTTCGAGATTTTTAAATTTTCTCAATTTAAGGCTTGAGATAAATTTTCCTCGATTAATTGAAGTTTGTCTCAAATAACTTTTTCCGCACATCATGAGATACACATTCAGTTATTAGATGAGACCTCTTTATGTTCTCTGAAAGTTTACCAAAATATGCGCAAAAGTATTCAGATTCAAAACAGTGGACACACTATTGGTAAAAACATCGGAAAATAGCAGTTCCTCCAGTTTTGTGCAATTGCACAAACCAAGTCTGCATTACGTTGTTAAACGTAGCAATTCAGAACTACATTTAAGAATATTTTCAGAGAATATTACTTGTAGCTGAATGGAGATTGTTTTCAGAGAACAATTCTCTTTTGACCGAAACGCTTCACAGAAGAAATAACTTGCTGTTTGCCGAAAAAAAAAATCCTCAGTGCTTCTGAACATGTTGAGATATCCAGATTGATATTCTGATCGGAAGCAATGACCGCATTTTTTTTGTGAAAGGTGATCAGCCGAATAACAATAAGCAATGAAGGCATAGTTTTTGTCACAGTGATTTACTAGAAAACAATGGTGATGATTCCTTTACAGATTTCAGCAGAATTCAGGACAATCATTCCATAGAATTTTCTATATTGGATGTGGACGTTGAAGATACATAGATAGCTTTCATAGATTGCAAATTAGTCGTGAATTGCCACCATGGTGTTAGGATCATTTCCGCTGAAGTTCTTATACTTATAACTCAAAAGCTACATATCGTAGTTTCTCCAGTGGAAGCGTTCTATTCGTATAATTTGCTGTGCCAAAATGTACTGTAATTCATTTTGTATAATTTGGTTTGCATTTTCATGTTGTCTATGTCGAAAATGGGCTAATGCTTCCAAAAAACGCACTTTTTTCAAAAAAAAAAATTCAAAAAAAGGAAACATCAGAACATGAACGACATCGTGTTTGTTTTGTTCATGAATGTAGTCTTGAATTTGGTCGCAAGACTGCAAGACAATTTTTAAATGCAACTCAGTTTGGAAAAAATCCAACTATCAGAATTTTATTTTTTTCTGCTGTCGAGATATTTCTTAACGTGAGTTTGTTTACACCTATTTTGCCGCACCGCTGCGATTATCTATAAATAAATTTCTTTGAACCGGCAGTTCAAAGAATGGAAAAAAATATTTTGTGCTAGGCAGCGAAAAAAAAAATTCCTATTTCTCTAACACTCAAAATCTGCCACTATGTTGAATTAAACACAATTTGTTGTGCTCAATTCTGCATCTAAATCTTCCTCTCCGTTTTCCAAGCGATTGCATTATTTATATGCTGTATAACCATATGTCACTCGGTTCAAATTATGCAATACCTTAATATATTACACTTCCTAAAATTCCACATGTAGCTTGACTATTTTTTGTAAAATATAACTTCAGAATCACTAATGTAATCCAATATCGCCTAACACTTTGTTAACTATGTAACTTCTGCTCACCACGGTATTTTCATTAACATGTTCTCAACAAGTTCCCTTCCAAACCATAATTTCCTCATATCAACATTCAATACCGGTCACATTATACTCCCATATCTCCACGCTAATTTTCCCATTCGTCAATTTCCTGCTATAATACGCCTGTTCACTTCCTACAACTACATGTTACTGCCTCTCCCAAGCAGTCCCCTACGTCACATCGTTCATTCCGTATATCTCTCCGCTTGAGGACAAGCTCACTCTGTACCCCTAGGATGAGGTGAAGGTCGATGTTTGGTTATCCAATCCGCCTAAACCAACTCCTCCACTCAGTCCGTCTGAAGATAATGTACCGAAATCGAAGTTCTCTATGGTCTCGCCGTAACACGTGTACTCCTTACGCACGCAACTCGGAAGACGTTCAACAACAGCTGAACAAGCTCGAGGACGAGCTTTCTGAAGGAATGGAGATGTCGGGATGCAGCTATGACCCAACAGCTGCTAGCGATGGAGGTTGGCCTAAGACAACGAACCTCGGACAGTGACCTCCGCCCGTCGGCAGGAGCCGGTTCCCTCTTTCCCCTTTCCCCTTCCCCTTTTGTATATAACTTGTATAATAAACATTATAGTAAGGCTCATGTAACCCCGCTACACATCAGGTAAAGGACCTGCAGACCTTTATCCTGACACTTTCCATACATCATGTTGCCCTTTCTAGCCTTTTATTGAAGAAGGCACGACTCCATAAAAATCTGTCCAAATTCCTAGTTTTGCAGCTTTTCATAAGGATGAAACAGCGAATGGCCCGTGCGCTTTCCAAACGCATGGACAAATCATTAGCAACTGGATTAAAATGGTTACTCCATTTAATTTTGCCCAGCTTCTATGTAAACACTTCTGCATGCTCGCGTGAGCATGGCAAACATTTCTTTGCTGTATAGTTTCCTTTAATGCTCTTTTGCCATGATCATTCTCTCTCGATACATACAATACCTCTCACAAAAGTGCGAAATTTCCAAAATTGTGCGGAGTCCTGTGGCATCTAGGAGATCCCGCGGCATTCCGGGAATTCCGCGAAATCACGCAAATCACGCAAACTACGCAGCGCCACAGTTTCCTTCAGAATGAATATAATCTGAATCCGCAAAAAAGCGTTGTGCTCAACTCATCAGGGCAAATCTTTTGATTTACAGCACGGTATTGCATCTCACGAGCATCACAAAACATTTGTTTTATTTAGCGTACTTTACGCAGCTGAAATCGCGCGAAGTAAGCTCGAGCCGTAAGAGTACTGCCCGTCTTAGTAGCAAACTGTCAAACATTCAACAAATTGTTTTGATGTTTTCAACAGGACAGACAAAAAACTATAAAATCATCAGCGTCATGCTTTGTTTGCTGTGAAACAGTTCAAGGGTCACGAAATAGGGCATTTTCAATGTTATGGTAGGAAAATAAATTACCAAAAGATTAAGCAAGGGGAAATACAGCCATTTATTCCCGCTCAAGTGCGACCGTAGTTTAGAGAAAGTTTTTCCTTGTATACGTCAACTTGTAGAAAGCCCTTAATCGAATTACCTCCGAAGGAATGAGGGCTTTTTTCTTTGCCTTCATTTTCGACGAACATCTCGAAGGCGTCATTTTCACCCAAGGACCCAGCTGGGAATACCCTCAGCGCCTGATTCTTAGCATCATCAGGGTCTTCTTGGCTTGCATTTCTAGCACATTCTATTCTCGTTTCTTGTTTTCTTGATAAACAGTAAGCTTAGCTATTTTAAAGCTATTTTATAAGCTAGTCATAACGTACACTTTAACCTCTCAAAAATTTGTGAGAAGAAGCCCTCTCAAATTGTAGTTTTTGTCCATCTTTGTCCCTGTTCATAATCTCCTTGAATCGAAGCGACCTCTTACGTCTTTGGATGACAAATTACTTAGGGTTTTCTGCTTGTGTACAGCTCAGCCACTAAGTCACTTATTGCTGTTCCACAGCCTCGAAAGCAAGCATTTCTTCCAGCAATCGCTCTCTCTGATATGGAATACGTGATGAGGACGGCCAGGTCAGCACGTTGTACTACTAGGTACTTTTGTTTTCGGTCGATTTGATGCTGTGGAGGAATTTTAGTTTTCATTCCAGGGATCGTGAGCCCGGCTGTACGTGCTGTTGCCATCTGAAGTCGGCTGTTAGCATTTCACCACGTACGGCCCATTTCAGCGCAGCTGGTGGTCTCAGTATGCACAATATCATGAATATGAGTAAAAGTGAGTATTCTGTACGCAATAACTAAATTTTTAGTCCTTCCCTGAAACTTATGCCTGAAATGTTAATAGAATCTAAGTAGGGAGCTCGTTTGCCGTGGGCCTCGCACAATTCTGGTTTATGGTTACCTTATGAAAGAAGAAAAGGGGGAGACGGTCGTTTTGCACTACAGTGTGTGACTTTTACCCTAAGAAACTTGTTTCAACATGCGCGCAACTTTGGTCCTGAATGGAAATGCGATAAAAGCGATATGGTTGTGTGAATCTGCGTACATCCGCGAAATAGTCGAAACTCTTACATGTGTCAACGATGTACCCCTTTTGTATCGTCCGTTCCGTTTTCGCGGGCGTACCTCTTTAGCAAATTTGCCGCATCGATCGGAGAACGCTGCGCAATGCCCACGCGCTGCGGATGCGTAGTCACTAGAACGGGGAGCTCGTACTTGACGCAGATTGTATGTCAGTGATTATCATAGAAAAGTGAATGAAGAATTGAAAAATAGATATTCATGCTACTTTCTTTTATAATGGCCGTGACAAATCATTATGTTGACGGAAAGAAAAGCTTTTGATCCCTATTTTTCATAAAAGAGAAGAAAAAGTAGGGTAGAAAAAATGCCGCTATTTCCATGAAACGAATAATCGCTATGACATCTAAGCTGGGAGAATGGGTTTTCATTTAATTAAAAAAATAACTCCAAAACCCACTCCAATTGTAAAATGTCAATTTTTTTTCAACAATACTGGACCTCTATTTCAGCCAGACTTGCTATAAAAATCACTTGCTCAGACAATTCTTTATATCGCGTCACACCGGTTTATGCGATTGTTGAGCCAGATGAGGTGCTCGTTTTGAATGTGAGTGGCTTTTTTTTTTCGAGTTCTCCGCCACTCAAACTCAAATCCCATAAAATTTTCTATTTTTAGATAGGCAGAATAGAAGGAATGCCGAAAAAGGATCGCCTTGGAATTTTGATGATCGATTATAATGGTACTGGAAATGCCAAGGATGCATTTAAGGTTATCTTTTGGGTTTCTCCATCAATGAAAGCCAGATCGGGGGGTCTGAGTTTGTTATTTGGAAGATTGGGAAGTCATAACTAAGCCATTGCTTGAGCGAGAGCTTGTAGATTTCATTCGTAGTCGCGAAATTCAGTTTTAAACCCTCGCCCAGACTATGTTGCTGAAGAGCGGACTAATCCGCACACCCTTGGATACGGTAGTGGGTGAAAGTTTTAACAATAAGTCAAATTTCACGACCACGAATGTATCATACGAGCTGACGTTTGGTGATTTGAGCCTCCTATAAGTATCAGACATAACCTTTGGTTCAACTGGCTTGGCGGCTAGAAGGAGGGGCATTGTAACCTAGTCAAAGTCTCTCGCGCCTCCTACGCAGTCTGCGTCTCTCTCTCGCGCGTGCTCTTTGATCATTATCTAGCCTAAACTAGATCAGGAAGCACCGCCTTCCATTCGCCAATCCAGTTGAATCAAAGGGTGGAGAGTGTAGATACCTGCATTGTCCTGGACAATGTTTTCAGGAATAGCATTTGTGATTTTTAGCGGACAGATTTGCGGCCAGTTACGATCAACATTCCGTTATTGGTCAAGGAAAGCTGATGGAAATTTTGTTTGCTACGATCTCTTATATATACGGTTTCCTAATTTGTGTTTCTAAGCTGAATGAACACACTGTCGCTTATCATTATTGACTTGGCATAAAAAACATTTATTCGTCATCATTTGTACAATACCTAAAGCTGCAAAGTATCACAAGTGGTACAAATCAATAAACTATGTACAAAACTGACTAGAGGCTACTTAGGACATTATGCACACTTGACACCTAGAAATCAGTAATTTTTGAGCATGTATGACTAGATTCGGTCACCATCTGAAGGTTTGAGAGTCCGGAAGGATTTGTAATGAACGTTGAAGACTATGCTTCGCTTGAATCTCGGCTCGGTGATTCGTTCTGAAAACAATTCGGATAAATTAAGTTTGTCACTGTTTGATGGATTTCACTTATATTGCGAAGACCTTCCAAAAAATACAAAATATAGCTCGACAGTTATACAGTCGAGTCATTTCATATGATCATGTGTGTCATTGCACACACTGTCCACCTTTGACGTTTTCCATCCATAATTCTGGGAACAGACACCCCTTCAGGCAAGCGATTTCCTTATTAGGTACTAATCTCCTCAAAGTGCTGTAAACGATAACAATCGGTCAGTCTCCTGTGTTTTTGCGAATGCAAATCCAGTCAAATTCACTTAAGAGTATCTCAGATTTGAACATTGATTTGGATTCGCTATCATTCAATTCATGTATCATTCTTGACTTCTCGATATAATGTACAGGTACGGTATGAGTACACTATGTGATTCAGTGCCATTTGCCATTACAGTAAAAAAGACTTATGCATAACAAATAAGACGCTGGGGTTAACCCATATTCCCGCCTTTACTAATGAAATATAAGTCTGGTATAAATTTCTAACAGCACAAATGTTGAAGGGCAATTTCTCGAAAACCCAGAAATACTTGAGGGGAAGTGGAGAAATTGGTAACCAGAAATTTTTTGTGGACTGGGCGTGACGTACTCAAATTAGTAGTATTTTGTTTCTCGATTTTTTTTCAGGATTGCTAATCCCTTTCCACCGAGGTTTTTTTACGCGAGCGGTTCACTACTGCTACTTTCGTGTTAAATAACATGAGATTTCCTCAACTTTAAGCTTGAACTTTTTGAGGAAATTTTGAGAAAAATCTCAGCTGAATTTGAAAAATTACAACAAAAAAGCAGTAAAGTTTACCTGACAATCATGAATATTAGTGGAGACTACCGTCAGTGGCGAAATTGTTGCACCATCGCTACCATGCATTGATCGTCGGTATTTAGCGCGAGCGTTTTGAAACCAAACCTGGGAAAATTCGGATTAATGTGGACTGGTTATTGGAGAGCTTACTGTCTGCTTTGGGCTATTTCGTACGATTTTTGGGTTAGTTCCGATCATAAGCGGTTACTGTAGATTTTCTAATATTCAAAAAGTTTGATGAGCGACACAGTTAGTATATGAGTGAAACTTGAAATCAATGATGAGACATGCTCCAAAATATTGATTTATCTTATTCACAACAAGTGTTCAAACTGGGAGAAGAGAAAATTTAATGGACTGATAGGGGATAATGATGATAATTAATTTTTTGCTTCAAGGATTGATCAAAAGTGTTTATAGCCTTTTTCATATTAAAAATATTTCAATTTGGAGCCTCTACACAACAACAGTTACCTGCAAAACTCGCTTCGTCAGTCCAGTTTTTTGTGCCAACTGTTTGAGATCCTTCGCATCCGGATTGTGATTCAAATTGAAGTATTGCTTCATTGTCCGCAGCTGATGATGTTTGAACGAAGTCCGCATTCGCTTCGATCGACTATGCGATGGCTGCTCGTCTTCGGCATAATCTAAAAAATTCACTTGGTATTCAACATTTTCGAGGACGGGGGGGGGGGGGGGTAGTCAGGTTATAGCTGCCAGGTGCTCATTACAAATGATTTGCATAGGGATTAACGCGGTTGGCTCCGTTTGAAACTTGAGTGCATGAGGTATCACTAGCATGGTAACAGGTGCTGCCTGGTACCCCGTGCTCGGCGAAGAAATGCATTTGCATTTTTAATGAGTACTGTAAACGATAAGATTCCAAAACAAGATTTAAAATTATTGCAATAAGCAAGGAAACTATTTTTGAAAAGAAAGACAGGTTCCGTTTGGAGTTCACTGTCTTGCGATATCAACCTCAAAACTAAAGTAGTCGAGATCTCAATTTTTGCAGGCGCTTTACTAAAAATAGGAGTAGGAAGAAGTGGGTACAGAAACTGTACTATATTACAGAGATGTACTGAGAAAGCCTCGAAAATCATGTTTAACTTTGTGTCTGGCTCTTTTCTCCTTTATAAGGAGTATATAAAACCTTCGGGCTCCCTCGAAAATCCTCAGCAAAAAGAAGAGCCCGAAATATTCAAGTTATGTGATTTTTTAAATCTTTCTGGTTTGATTGAATTCAGGAATAATGATGTAGGCTCCTTTGTAAAGTCTCATTGTAAAGCATGAACCTTCTTAGATAAAAGGAGAACTTGAGAAAATTTGACTGAGAGGAACGAGGCGTTATGGTGAAGAGAAGCTTCTTGTACATGCTGCGTATATAGCTGTCCCCATGACGATTGCACTGCTGACGCCGTAAACTGTGCTGGCGAGATTGATCGTTCAAAACACTGCACTCTGGGGTCCGGCATGGCGCTGGAACGGCGCTGGCACGGCAATTCTGGACGCAGCCATCGAATAGGACCTCGCAGCTTGGAAACATAAAAATGCCAAAGAAATAAACGTGCATAAATATCATTTTTCTACTACTTCCATGCCTTCATATCTTTTACTTCACTTTCCGTTACTATTAGGTTGTCTCAAAAATCAAATGTCATAAATAATTCAAGCTGTTTTTGTCTTCGAAATAAACTCAGGGTATCATTCAATAGTGCAGATTAAGCTCCACAAAATGAGCTCTAAAGATCTCACTAAGTTGCATTCCATGTAAAGTTTGCAGCCAAAAAAATTTTGTCACCTGGAAAATGGATTTTGTGGGGAAAAATCCTACGGACCTCCAACTGGTCATTATACAGTCACATACATAGCAGTGCTTAAATATGTCTTTACTGGATTTTTTCTGAGCATAGAAAGTGAGAAATAAAAAGTAGTCCAAAAATAGCAAACTCCGTCCCAGCTCCTCCCACATATGTTATTGTATAGTACAAGTCTTAGTTAGCATAATTGTAAAACTTTATCCTTGCATTTGCTCTTGTGATCGAGCATTAACAAGTTATACATGAAAAACCCGAAAAAGTGGCATTTTGGTATTTCCGGACCATCTTTGTTACTCAATTTTGAGCCCGGAAAAAAATCCACCAAACATTTCTTTAGGTACTGCTATGTTCTGCTATATAAAGACCAAGTTGAAAGTCCGCAGGAATTATCTGGAAGGAGATCCGATTTTTAGGGTAGCTGAAAAGTTTTGATTTTTGGCTCCAAACTTTACCTGGATTACGACTTAGGTAGAATAGTGGTCTTTTTGTGAAGGTTGTTCCGCTCTATCGAACTATATCCTCAGTCTGCTAAAAATAAGAATAGCTTGGCTTATTTAGGAAAGGAATTCAGTTTTGAAACAGGCCTAATACACAATTTGATTATTATAATACATAAACTTTACTTCATAAATAATTTTTTCTGAATACTTGAATTTCTTGCATAACGATTAGACGAGACAAGATGATTGAAAAATTGATTGAAAAAAGTTAATAGTTAACGGTTCAAAAACATCCAAAATTGTCAAAATCTGAAAACAAGCTGCCAAAACTGCGTAAAAAATGTGTTTACAAGTCATTATGTTGGAACGTTTTTTCACGTTTCTCCTAATTTTTCAAAAACAGAATATTTTTTGAGCACTTATCTATCACTTTCTTATTGATAGCCTCTAGATACAGAGAAATGGATGACCTCAGCCATCCTTCCTGTACATTCATCTCAACACAAGAACCCTTGTTTTCCCCTCCCCTTCCCTTCCTGATCAAAAGCCCCCGCCGTTCACCCCTCCAACAATTCTCGACGGCAATTAGCGCCAGACGTGAAGCGCCGAGGTGCCGCTGTGATCGATAGCGCGAACAGCTACGGTGGCAGCACTAAGAGCACTCTGGGGTACGGTAACTGAGAGAAATTGATGCCCCTGCTTATATGGGAGTCGATATATGTGAATATGAGAGTAGAACACGAGCCGCTTACCTTCCGGTTCATCCGAATCGTCTTTGCGTTTAAGACTTTGCGCTATCGAAGGTGGTTCGTCCATCTGTGGAATGTCATAGTGAACTGAAAAGAATAGATGAAGTGAAGCGCTTAGGCAAAATAAGCAATTACCGCATAATTTTTTTTAACCATGCTTATGAAAGGGTTTGGGAAGGTCAGTAGATTCAATTTTCTCGCAAGAGAAGTCCTTTGTTCTTAAGATCCATCGACAACGTATTAACTGAAGTTCGGATCACTTTCATATGTGTTAAATTACTCTCTTCTTACCTAAACAAATTTCGTGCATTTTTTCCTACTGAGGTCTTTTGAAATAATACTTCCAATGTGTATATTGCACAGAATAAACTTTTAGAAAAGATTCGTGAACATAGTGAACTCAAACGCGATTTGTCCACAGTTTGTGTTTTTATGGTGCCAATTCTGAGACTGATTCTGAGACTTTCCTGTAGTTTTTTTGTGAGTGCAAACAGGTTTACGTAAACATTTCTTTCTTTCGGTATTGTTTATTAGATTGATTCAGCTACATCTCATAACCTGGCATAATCGTAAAGTGGCGTGTGTGGTGTGCAATATCACGTTAAAGTTGCAAATGACGCGAATGTAATCGCCACCTTCACATTTAAATTTTGCATGAGGAGACACATTTCAAGTTATTTTGAGCGTTAGAGAGCATGAATATTTGGTCCAGGATTTGAAATGGTGAAGTGTATTTTTCAATGTTTTTCATTTTCATAGGATAAGTCGTTGAGAAATTGCTAAATTAAAAATTTTCAGTCGTTGGTAAAGATATAAGATAGGTATCGTTGGTATTGTTTTTACAAGCCATTTTACTGTGAACTATCCCTAGAAGGAACAAGGGTTTATACTAGTGCAGTTTGAAGTTGTTGCTAAGCTCAGAAGGTACATTAATCAGACACAACTAATTAAATAATGTGCCGTTCATACGCGCTACATATTATCTTGTTAGGACAAATGAAAGAAAGCCCTTAATCTAAAAAACAACACGAAAAAGCACAGACAAGCAGAAAAACTGCTACCATTAGATCCCTTTACGAAGCGCAAGTAGAGTCTAACCCATCAGAACGAAAATCCAATCCTCCCAAATTTTTTCTGTCAAAAACAATGGCAAAACCTTGTATTTTTCATAAGCAGGATTCCCAAACCGGAAGCAGGAACAATGGTAGATACAGATTAACCTCTACTTCGCCCATCAAGTGTGATACAACATTTTGAATTCAGAAGACTTAGGTTTGACATAAAGTAATTTGAAAAATTAAACACTTTCGCAACCAATGCTCTCCAACAGCATCTAGCCCCACTTGACACTAAACATCTCCAAAAATGTGTCAGATGTCGAGATTTCTGGCGACAGACTTACCTTGACATAGAATCTCAAAATGTCGGGTCATAGCAAAAATGTCTCCAACATTGGGTTGAATGCCGCACACCTGAAAAATAAAACCTTTTGGGAGCAACTAAATTGTTACATGAATCTGATTACCGCACAACAGAAGCACTGAACATGAAATACGGCGTCACGAGCTCTCATTACAATGTCGTCACATTCTAGGGTCACATGACATTTTGCGCAGGATCGGCGGAATTTTCTGGAACAATTTCAGATTTGTTTTTTTGGAAAAAACTTGCTATTTATTCTTACTTACGCTGTGTAGTCCTTTCTGCACAGGATCAAGCCATTTTTTACATAGCAGGACGTTTCATATGAAAGTCCGCAATGGCACAGAGCACACCGAAGGCAATGGGAATGATAGGGACGACTTTCAAGGACCAGAAAATACTGCTCAAGGATCGGCTGCTGACAAGCGGAGCAGATTTCTGGAATTTCAGGCGGTTAACGGCCCTTTACTATTTTCAGTATTTTGTCCATTTTCCTCCTATTTGCCCTCAAGTCGCAAGTGCCCTGCTACATTCCCGAATCATCTGTGCGTATTTTTACAACCCTCCTTGCTGATACTTAGCTCAGATCATAAAGCTTCTGTTAAGAGCCGCCAGCCATGTGTGAAACACGAGCGAGTCCCCGTGTCGTAATGACAAACGAGCCCCTCGAATCCAATTAGCGCCTAGCTGAGGGTTACGGTAGCCGTTGCAGAACACTTCGAGAAGTTTCTCACACTTAGATAAGTGTTTAATATTTACTGCTGAAAAAACTGACCACTTGGCGATCCAAAAGCGCTCACAACCAGATTCGATATTGAAATCGGTGATGTGCTGCACATCGGCTGTTGTAGGATGTTATCCCTACTGGTGACGGTAAGCATTCACTAGAGCGTCTGAAACGAAAATTCAATTATATATTTTTTGAGAAGAAAAATGAAGCCCATAATAAGTGGTGATGCGAGTCCACGTCATCACTGTTGATATCACACTCGTTATTTTATTAATACATTAGAATAAGAGAAGATATATCAATTTTGAATTTAAAGCAGATGAAAGCGTAAAGACGTCCTTTCTGATTTTATATGAGGTGTTCCATAAATACACTAGATGTTACTGAAGAATAATAAAACTAATAAATAAAAATGATTAATGATAGCAATAATAATAGCGATAGTAACATCAATAGTGAAGAATCACAGCTCAGGAACGTCTTTAAAAGTAGAGCTTCAATTGTTTCAAGCAAGAAAAGTTAAAGCTCAATAAATCAGACTTCAAAGTAACGCAGCAGATCCCAACAGTTCCAGTTACGCGCTGTAATTCAAAATGGGCATAATGTTCTGAAATTTGTTGGTCAAAATTTACGAGAAAGTGCCAGCAAAGATCTGACAGCCATATAGTTCTTGCTTGAAAAAATCTTTCTAGAAAGACGCTTCAATGTAATGTTGCTGAATAGGTCAGGTAGGTTGTCCCATGATCTCGCACCAAGAAAAATTTTTTTGGAAAATCCGAGTGAAATTGCTAAGAACATCGTGAACACGATGCGTGTTGTATTCTATTACACATAAATTTTATTTCAACAAATTCAAGGCAGAGAAAGTCAAAAAAATGGTAGAAACGTTCATATCTCGTTTTTTTTCTCGGTCATAGAGAATATGTCATGGAACTGAGTACCAACAGCAGACTCTATGGGACGGGACCTATCATCATTTAAATAGAATAATTCAATACCATCGTTCTCTTTCAATAGCTTATATCGTTGCGATTTGCCTGTAATTACTGAGCATCACAAGAAGTTGATGACTTTCTCTTCAGTGTATTTCGAAACAAAGGAATCCGTTGAAAATAGAGAATTGAATGTTACCAAGATGGTTCAAATATATGACAGCCTTATCGTAATTCGAGAGGAAAAAATCTTGAGGGATTCATGTGATTTATCATATACCTAATCGACAACTCTTTGATTATTACTACTTTCTTATACTACTATTGAACAAGTATTTGGGTTAATGATTGAAGCTTGATATCTTCGCTGGTGAAAATTCCACATAAAAGCTCTCAAGAATTAGAATACGATTCATGTTCTAGAATAAATACTGTGATATCACAGTGCAGGTAACGCACTTTCTTAGTATGCTTATGAAAAATCTATGAAAACTGAAAGTCAAGCAATTGATGAATGAATCGATCAGGCAAGACTAGTAAGCTTACTGTTACGTTGGACACCAAATGTAAACACTATCTACGGTGCATTGTTCGGAACCAAATGAACGGTCATCACAAAAGAAGAGAAGATTTTGCAGCTGTCTAATTTCTTTCATGCTGTGAGCGATTACTGTGACTACATAAATTATGGCAAAATACAAATCGGTTTACAAAAACTTATGAAGATGAAAAAATCAAAAAAAAAAGAAGAAAAGAGTGTTGGACAGACAGAATCAAATTGATTCATTTCTCACTTCATTTGATTTAAGATAAAGCTAAGTAACCTTAGCCAAATGCTGTTCCCTCGAAACTGAATTTTGCTTCCCTGGGTTTTTAGTATTGTGAATTAATTATGAGGTTTTGTTCCTGTTATTATTTACTTCTGTTTGGTAATAATTCTATTGCGTCCTGTGATTACAGTGGGTCAAGTAATTTTCTTCAATGTTGTTGCGCAAGCCACTATGTGTAAGCAATTGAGCATCGGTCAGCTGAAATAAGTGCGAAATTATGGCACCTCATTTGTAGAATAATTAGAGGAGAGGATGGAAGATCGGGGTGGGGGATTTTTCTTTAAAAAATAGCTCCTCTTTTCTCAAAAATGAGTTTAATGTGGAATTATTTGGTCAGGCTGCTATTCTAGAATACCGGTAGAGTGAAAGTGATTACGATTACATAACAAGGTGCAGTACACACTCGCTCATGACAGGATTCGATTCACACAAGCGCCGATCCTTCCCGCTACCGTAATCGGATCGCCGGTGGGCGGGGCGTTAGGTGCGATATCATACGCAACGGCAGACGCATGACGACGAAACCCGGCGAGAGACAGTAGCCGGGGCTCGATGAGGCGACAGAGAGCGGGGATTCGGATTACCGCTGCAGACAGACAGGTGAAGCGTGTCGTTTTCCCGTTGCGGGGGATTATCCGCTCGGGGGATAAACGCCCCGTATTACCCGAAGTTGCATGAGCCGGGCTTTATTCGAGTGCCGAAAAACAACGAAGTTTTTACTGCCACGTTTCTGCGAGGACAAAGTGTCACGATTGAATTCAAACAGGGTCGCGGAAAAGGGTTGAAGAGCTTTTTGCTGCCACTTTTGAGAGCCCATTATCTGAACTTTAATTTTCTCTAATTTATGTAAATTTCTTTACTTTCATTGCAACCTGAGCATTCTGAGAAGACGCCATTTGTTAATGTGCAAGAAAAATCGTGTCTTTTTTGATAAGAGAAAGTGAGAAAAAATAGAAGAAATCCCTGGAAGTTCCGCAGAAACACTGCAATTCTTTGTAATGAGTTACTTATGCAACTCGTAGATTTCTCTTTGTCTTACATATTTCCGACTTGATAGTCACAGCTAATGCCATCCAAAAAAGGAAAAAATGGCGCAACTCATATGCGTTTTACTTGACTATTCGAATCGATGGGCAGGTAATCAACCATTACTGTTAGTAACCATTACTTGTAATTACTTTCCACTAACGCCTTTATCAGTAGTCAAACATGAATGGGGATGACATTCGCAAGCTTCACAGACATAACGTTTGCGATTAGTGCTTTTGCAGTGTCAGCAACGGAAATTTGCTAATCTTCTTCTTTCTAACCACTTTTTTCTAATTATCAATGCTAGCATTTCGTTATCCACTCTGCTATGAGGTTGCTACAGTCTTCTCTTGATTGAAGGGCTAAAATTTGGACGTGAGTTGTGGTCATATCTTTCGGACTCGATCTATTATTTGTATATTTTGGATTAATGATAGCTCCTGAAAATTTTTTTAATTAAAATTGTGCGAGCCAGCATTCATATTCACTCATTTATTTATCCAGTGCACATGACGTGCGCCTTGTATAAATCGGAAAATTTAAACTATGTTCATCGGCAAGAAAACTTTCAACTCCAGACATGAAGTCATTAGAATTTGAATAATTAAGAAATTGATATGAGGAATTATCTCACGCTGAAGGAATTTACTAAGGTTTTCTGAGCCAGTACTGCAGTGTGTGCAATGCGCGACCGCAGAGAATTGGAACTGCTGCGTCCTGATAGGAGCGTGCGTATGTACCTTGTGAGGGAAAGGAGCATTGAGAATAAAGTGCAACTGTTTGTAGTGATGTGGAATTGTCAAAAATAGCTCCATAGTAATACGTGTTACCTCGGCTATACTTGCTTACAAGGGAATGGTCAGAAATCGAAGTAGCCAATTCGAGCAAATTATACATTGTTAGATGCAGCATAAAACGCTGACTCTAAATTTGCATTCCTTATCTGCAGAGCGCTTTTGTGGATGAAATTATATGCCGTTATAGGTCATTATTTTGCTAAGAAATCGTGCGTGTAAAGGTCAAACTTGGCCGTACAAAGCCATTTACAGCTCAGCGTTGAACCAAGACATGCAAGTAGGCCAATTCATATGAACCATGTCTAGGGATGAGCTGAAAGAGCAATAATGTGCCTAATCTAGCAACTTTTGTGTGCGATGCGATTTTTTCGCAGTAAAGCTGCTCATAACTTCGCCTACAAAGGCACTCTGCAGATAGGGAAGGCAGATTTGAAATCAGCGTTTTATGCGGCATCGAATGGTATGCAGCTTGTTTGGATTGGCCACTTCGACTTCTGACCATTCCGTTGTTAGATCAGTGGTTTGATCACCTACTTACATTGATTTGATCAAAAAAGCTATAGGTTGCAGACGCACAGTTATTGATTTCAGTGGCGATTGCCTCAAAGTTTCACGACATCCTTCTAGAAGGTTCATTGATTCCTCCTTTACGGGAACATTTTCGCGGCTGTTGCAATTCATTATCAGGTCATGGTGCTTAACATTTTATGTATCGTTCATTCGTTAACCGTACGGACTGCCGACCGCGTGGCGACTGCGACGCGTGCCTTCTAAACTTGCGAAAAAGTGATAAGTTGGACCGTGGCTTAAGATGAGAAGAATTCTTTGCTTCTTTTCTACATTATAAAGATGAGAAGAATCCTCTGTTTTCTTTCTATTCATCTTTTCTACGAAAACATCATGCACGCGCAGCGGTCGCCGCGCGGTCAGCAGTCGTTACGGTCAACGAATAAACGATATGTTGTTCTCAATGTTTAGGGTGATGAAAATGAAAGATTAACTTTCGAAATTCAACGTATTTAACTCAGGAGCAGTCAGACAATCGGAAATTTGTTATCGCTGCCAATTCTGGCTTATTTGTCAAACTCCACTTTAACGGCGAGTTCACCTGAAGTCCCTCGTAGCAAGGAATCGAAGAAATTCTCGAGGGCAGGGAAGCAAATCGAGAAAAGGAATCACAACGCAAAGGTGGGTACTTGATCTACTTACTAAGCTCGATTTTCCTTTCTTGCTTTGAATTACGAGGGAACGATACTTGGTGACCGCGGCCTTTTGCAATGAGATGTGTACCAGTAGGTGCGTCTTGGAACGCTGATTCTAAATCTATGTTCAGTATCTGCTGTGCGACTCCCTGAACGAAGTTATGAACTTCTTTTCGTATTGATTTTGCGAGATTAGGCAGTCAAAATAGTCAGTATAAAGGCTTTTTAGACTCTGATGTATCGAAGACAATTCCCCTTAGCTTAACGTGAAGCTTTACTTTATCTGTACGCTTTTTTGTAGTGCGTAAGCGAACATTCTCAACATATTGGTGAATCCTGCATCAAAAACAGTGCAAATTTTGGTGACAAGAAATGTTCATAACTTCCTTCGGACGAGCGCACAGGAGATAATGAGAACACATTTGTAATCAGCGCTTAAAGATGCATTTAATGGTGTACGTCTCATTTCAAAAGGCCGCGGTCACCAAGTATCCTTTCCTTGTTAGTAGTAATCAATACGCTCTTATAAGTGATCTTAACGCATCACATCGCTCACTTCGAACGCTTCCACTTTGATCTGCATTGTGTCGTTAGTTTTTGTTGTTTCCATATGTGACTTTCGGCTGGTCTTGGTATAGCTGTAATTTTGCAGTATAGCAACATGAGAGTAGCTGGAGTATTGTTGGAGCATCGTATTAGAGTTCGATGTCTCAATATCAGTTCCGTAGGAAGAAACAGAGGTTGGAGGTTGCAGAGCTCAAAATATTAGAGGCTTCAATGCCAGTAGAAATCCACAGCTGATCAGAAAAGACGAGGGCTTTGCTTCAACAAACGTTCCTTGACTTATGCGAGTTTTCTACTACCTTCATATCAAAAACCCTAACTCATTCATTGTTTTTCAATCTGGGTAGCGGATGATCTCGTCCTCAAGTTTGTTATGAGCCGTTCGACCTAAGTCAACGTTTCACACAACTTTTTGGCTGTTTTTTGCAAATATAAAAGCGTTTTGGCGAGTGGATCTCATATCTCACTTGCAGGTTTTGACGAAGGCGAGTTGGCTGAAACTTTACATAAACAGTACTAGATCAGTTTTGAACATTGCGCAAATTTCCTGATCTGCTTGCAAAGTATTTCCGACCGAGATGATGTTCACTACCATCTCATTCCCCTGTTGTTACTTTATTCTGATTCTTACTTCAGAAGAGCAGCATGGGAAAGATGTTAATCTTTATGGTTTGATAAGCTAAATTCAGTAGTTGTCGGAAAGCACACGTACAACTTCCACATACAGGGCTCCTAAATTGCAGAGCCGTTTGCACCAGCGGCGCAGGCCCCACGCGGCCGTCGCGCCCGAGCATTTTGCCAGGCCTCAATCGATGGCGCCGGCGCCATCGATCGAGGCCTGGCAAGATGCCCGGGCGCGACGCGGTCGCGCGAGGCCGCCGCCGCTGGTGCAAACAACTCTGCAGTTTAGGAGCACTGTATTTTTGCATTTTTGAAGGATCCTGTTATACACCCGCAATTCGAAAATAGGAAAAAATACAGAGTTTGCTTTATGTTAACTTCCTTCTTGTTCAAGCCATGAAGTAGATGTCGCGTACGGAGCTTATTGTATGAAGCGTGGATAGTTTGAAAGGTCTATCTGTCGTTTTTTTCTGTTTCATGCTATCTCTGGTTACAACTGTCTTCTCCATAAGCTTTAGTCCTGCTATGGTCATTTTTGGCTCGGTTTTGCATAGAGTTGTTCCAGTCAAAAGACTGTTCAGCCGTGCTCTTTGGCTTTCGAAGTTTTGCAAAACGCTATTGGGAGCAAATATGAAGGGAAACGCAGTTTTTTTTCGAACCACGTAATCGCTAGCTAACTGCCTGCACTCTACGATAGGACTAGGACCACACAGCCAAAAGAAGGTACTGCTGTGACTTTGATGCAGAGTGTGGTTTCAACATCCAAACGTAACAGTTCGGGAGTGACCAAACTCGTACTCAAGATATACCCCACGCGATCACACATGTGGTGGATTACTTGGCGCTTGCCTATTACCAGAATCAGCATCCTTGTTTCATAAAATTGCGCATGTTTCATCGCAAGATGTGTACGAGATGTTCACCTGTGCCAAGAATGAACACCTCTTCTTCATCTTGCTATAGAAACTCAACTGTATAAAAAGTAGCTTACCCCACCGCAGTCTTCAACCTTATGTGGAGATGCGGCTTACGGGGAAATGGTCAGAACTTAACCCAGCCTTTCCAAGCAAGGTGTATATCATCGAAGTCGTCTTGAAACGCTGATTTTAAATATATGTTTCTTATCTGCCGACTATCTGGGAGGAGTTGATTTTTCGGATATAGAATATTTCTCGAGTTTCGACGAATATATTTCCTTGAAAGGCAGCCTGATGGCGCGAATTTACAGTAGCGATGGTTATTTTGATAACAAGAAGAATCACATTCATCAAAAATCTGAATAAGTGTTTTGAAACCTATTTCGTGAAACATGCGCCACAAAACACCTGACAAATCGCACATTCAAACGCTCATAACTCCTCCCAGATAATCGCTGCAGATAAAAAACATAGATTTGTGATCAGCGTTTCAAGACGAGTCCGATGATATACAGCATGATTGGTATGGCTTGGGTTAAGTTCTGACCATTTCCTGCATAGCTCATCAAATGCAACGGTGCTATCTGTTTAGTTACCCAGTCATCCGTTGATGAATATGAAGTTTGGACAGTCGTTACACGAGACCATCATTTTGCAAAACTTGTTCTATAGCTCGATCGAATGCTCTAAACGGCAAAATGAATCTTGACACCGCACACATAAAATATGCAGCTGTGGTATAGGCGTTCCTCATGCGTATAGCGGGCGTGGCCCTGCAGACATTTCACGTCAAAAAACTTGTTGAACCTCCAGTTTAGAGCACTGGTTTTTGTACTCTCTAGCTATCAAAAACTGCCACGCGCATACGTTGGCAAACGTCGCAAAGCTCCGCCCGCTCTACTCCGGGGAATTGACGATATCACTTCACCTCATTGTTACTGCCCAGACAACCGAAACATCGAGCGCAGGATCCTGCGAACGCCTTACCGTCGGAGACAGCCTACTTGAAGGTGTGCAGTGTTTCCACAATGTAATGGTGGACTCCCGCGATGTCGAATTCAGCCCAGAAGTTCCATAGTGTTCCAGCACGCAAATATTCCAAAATACGTCATCAAAGATAGCTGGTCGTATCAAGCGAAATCAGCGGTCGCTACAGCTGTCTCCACAGTGCCCAAATTACTGCCACGTGCACGAGTGCGCATGCTTCGTTAGACCCTGTGGAAGATAATCGAGCACAATGGAGATGAAAGGACACAACTCTGCCACAAAACAGCGAATGTATGGTTTTTTGGCAAAATGGGAAAGAAACTTAAACAAGCTGGATGGATTTACTGGACTGGCACCTGTCGCACATAAACACATTATTGAAAAATATCGTAACGCACTGAAAAGTTGCGTTGAGTTTGACAGTCACGGTCACCACCCTTTTGGGTCTAATTTACCCCTCTAGCCTGGCAGTAATCCCGCTTATGAAAATGATACTTGACTCTATAAAACTTCCCTTGGCTCCATTCCTATGTTTACATCCAAAATCTGGTCATGTACCGTCAAAAGCAGCCATCATCACACTTGTACACAATAATGGTACAATCATTACATTATACCCGTAAACCGTAATATCACTACCTTTCAGAATCAACCATACATTACGCATCCTACGTGGTACCTGTCACCATATACAGAATGTCCTTATTGTTTATTCTTAAATAACTCTCATGCTTCAATGTCTTTTGTCGACTTTCAGTTGCCATTCGGTAGTGCTGCCTTCAACCTAGATTTGCTATCTAACAAATCTCCGATTTTCCTTCGTTTGTAGGATTACGGTAGGAACTTCTGAGGGCGTTTCAAGCCGTTAAGAGTTGCATAGTGTCTCAGAAAGAAAGTCACATGCTAAAAACTTTCATACTAGGCTAACCAGAGCCGCTGATTTCAGATATGAAATTTGTGCACCAACGTGCTCTCATAAGCTATTTTGAAAACATTAATAAACCCTTTCCAGTGTTTTTCAAAAATGGATTCTACCTCAAAAAAGACCCAGAGCTTTTGAAAAGTTGCGTAATGAAACCAACATGCTTGAAAACCCTGCTACATACTTTTTGTAATCTTATGTGTAAAGCTGAGTGTCTGTTTGTATGTCTGTATGTCTGTATGTCTGTATGTCTGTCTGTCTGTACGTATGTTCCGAATAGAAAATTCCATTTCTGAACCGATCCGGACCAAACTTGGCACACATACACTTCGGGCCCCGGCGGGTGTCATAGGCTATTTTCGTCATCGATCGATATCGATTTTATCGATTTTTTGCAAAATTTGAGCTACAGGGCTGGGAGTTGGCACAGTGTTGAAATCGAGCATGCTGATTACAAATATATTACTGACAGGGCCGGGCGGAGCCGGGTAAGCCATCTAGTTTCTCCATAAAATTTTCTTCACACGCCTCAATAATGCCGTGTGCTGAAAGTTCATACCGGAAATTGCCACGCAAACATCCCATCTAGTCAAAAATTCACAGAAAAAATTAATACATGGGTTTTTAGTTTATTAATATATCTCTCTACCCATCAATACAACTAAGTACAACAGAACAAAAAACTACCAAAAACGTTCAGCTCATTTGGAAAAAGTTCAGTTATGAGTATGCAAAATAGAAACAACTCCTGAACGCCTGGCATAGTGTTGTCGCCTAGGCCAGTAGCTTCCTCATATAAGGCCAGAAGACTGTTCTACAAAACCTTAACAATACATTTTATTATTCGCAGAGAGACTGTAGGAAAGAACACACAAAACAACTCACTTCTTGCGATTCCGTGCAATGCTGAGTGAACTAGGTTTGACTGGATGTAAAAGTATTAAATCAGTGTTGTAGAACTGTCCGTAGTGTCGACGATCCTCATCCCACAAAAATTTGGACTTCGATACTGGTGGCCTAAGAAGTACACTCAACTCTCAAAAAGACAAATGTAATTGCTTATTCAAAAGATCGGGGTGTTTTCCTACTTACACAGTGTGATTCACAGAGGCAAGATATTTGAGAACCGCAATGCCTTTATAAACTCCTGCCTCAAAAAATAATTCCATCAGACCGCAAAAATAGTTGATCTCTGACGATGGAACATAAAATCTGCAATATATCTACTCGACACGTAATCATTTCAATCTCAGATTAATGCAAAACTGTGATGTTGTTTCACAGTGACTGCCTCGCTTGAAAAGGTAATTTTTTGGAAAACTTAAAAAATTTTCCAAAGCCATGAAGAAGTTATAGTGAAAGAGTGTGGGTTTAGCAGCATGTTTTTATATAACTATTAGGTCGTCCCAAAGTATTTTCGCTTTTTTGAACAAGCGCCACATTCCGCGGAAGAAAGTTTATGAAAAATCCTGTTGACATTCAATGCAATTTTCATACTCTTTCAAATGATCATCTTTATATTGTGTTTCAATAAACGGGCTCTCAGAATATCACCGAGTACCACGACCCGTGGTTTTTACAAAGTCCAAATTTCGCTATTTTTTGAAATTTTTGTATTGATTATCCAAAGAAGATCAAGTAACGGATAAATGAGCAACTCTATAGATACAAAACATAGCGAACAAACAATAAAACGTACAAAACATCTCCCTTTTATAGCATACTTTTCAAAATTTTCGAAGTTTTTTTGATGTTATCGAATTCAATATTTAGTGAACTTAAGCTTCATAGAACATCAACCGACGAACAACTCGGGTGTTATTCAGTGCAATATTATTTCCTTTCAAAAGAATGTTTCTAGTTTCTGACTCATAAAGTCTTGTGGAATAAAATCAACAAAATTCATGTTTCTGAAGGCGACCAAAGCTGTGCTCGGAAAACTTTGATACGGACTGAACGCTGATTTTTCCTTAAAAAGTACTTAGTCAAAGTCCACTGAACATAAGAGTTTGCTGGTTATGACGAATATGCGTCTGACAATAAGTCTGCTAGAATTCGATAGTTCTGAGTATTCTGTTAAAAAAATTATGGCGAGTTATGGAAAGGAGAACAAAATTGTTTTGTATCCTATATGGCTTGCTCTATTTATCATTACTTGAACTTCTTCAGGGAGTCGGTGCAAACATCTAAAAAAAGTAGCGAAAGTTGACATTGGCGAGAACCATAGATCGTCGTTTTTGTAAGTTTTCTGAAAGCTTGTCCGCTGAACTGCAATACGAAGATGGTCATTTGGAAGAGCATGAAAAACTACGTCAAATTCCACCATGATCTTTTGTTCCGCTGGATGTGGCGCTTGTTCAAAAAATGCGTAACGAGGGACAGGGACAGGGACAACTAGGGACAACCTAATAAACCGGTTTATTTGTTTACTTGAGAAATGCTCTGTATCAAGAAGTTTATTCATAAATGAGGTTGCTTTGCTCACACATTTCTGCACGGGCGGCTATTAGAACTACTTTGAAGCTTTGATGAATCATTAATTTTTAAGCTATGCCAACTATGAGGCTGGGACTTATTGTAAGGGGGTATGTGAAGGTGCTAATGAGACTGTGTGAACCACCTCTTGCTTTCATGCTTGTTTTTTCTTCGCAAACTTGGAGACACTAGAATTGGTGTACAGGTGTGAGCGAGCATGCCAGGTATATAAAATAAGAGTTTGTGAACATCGATTGCTGTATGATCACTTTCTCAAGCCAAAAGATTTCCACAATGAAGCACGAAGTCGATGGGAGAGATTGCAAGTAGTCAAGTATTGAGAGAGTAACTGACAAAAACTACTGACTATTTGATCATTATTTCCGCACTTTTGGCTGAAAAGAAGACATATCTAAAAAGGGTCTGGTGAGCTCTACACAGATCAACCCATCGAGATCGAGCGAAGCTTGGCATGGCATCTAGACTAATGAGAATCTTGTTAGGATAAGGAGAAGTTGTTGTAGGGCTATAATGCAACAACGAATTCCTGTTTGGAATGAACCCGCACACAATGCAAGGCTGTCCGTTACATACGAAAGGGATCGACCTTCGTGGTATCCCGTATCCCACCTGAAAGCCTCGTAGGCAAATAGAGTTGTACCGATAAAGCTGGTTGCTTAAGTGATGCTTATTAAGCTCGCCAGAAGGTCCTCTCAAATCAGTGGTCTCTCTACTCTCGTTTTGCCAAACCTCTCTCCTATCTATCTCACGTATCATTCGCGAGTTATTTAAGCTAATTTGCTTTTTGTTACAGGGAAAGCTCGGCGAAGACGCTCATGGAAAATCACACTAATAAGTACAGGGTGGGGCAAAAGTCTGGGAGCCTACTTTGCAGTGCTGTAAATCAAGAAACTACCGACGATTTTGACTCCAAATTTGTGCCACATATTGCTGCGATCATCCTCTACAAAACACACTTTGGCTGGCTGAAAATGCTTGCTATATGTTTTTGTAGGAGTTGGGTTTATCAAACAAGTGCTCTGCAAAACGAGAAAATAGAAATTTTTGTTCCTTACAACTTATTTCGTAACTAACGATATAGTGGATATTCTAAAGCACTTCGATGCGTATAATGTAGAGGAGACTTCGCGCTATCAATTTTTAGCCGTTGCTTTTGTCAGATAGTATTCTTTTGAAAACGCAAAATAAAAATTTGTATATATTAGGTCGTTCCGAAAGTAATGTCGCTTTTTTCGAATGAACGCCACTATTCGTGGAACCAACATTTTCAAAAGATCTTAGGAGCATTCGATGCAGCATGTCATCCTCTTTCTAAAGGTTCTAATGCCACTGCAAAATGTAAAATGACCTCTCGAAAAACTACCAAAATTTGCGACTCATGCTTTTTGCCATGGTCAAATTCGGCTATTTTTCTAAATTTTTGTACCTAATGTCCTAAAAAGTACAAGTGGCAGATAGATAGAGCAAACACTATAGAACGCAGAGCAATTTTTTCTTTTCCTTAGCTTGCTTCTCAGAGTTTCTACAATCAATTTCTCAATGCCATCAAATCCCATATTTAGTCAAGTAAAACCTCACAGGACAACAACCGGCAAGCAACTCGGGTGTCATTCGACGCAGCTTTAAATCCTCTTTCTACCGGTTGTTTTTTGTTTCCGATTCATCAAGTTTTCCGAGATAAAATCACCATAAATCAGGTTTTCCAAGGCACCATCAAGGTGTACCCGAAACTTTCAAAAGTTGTTAAACCGAAGCGATGAATGCTCGTTTGGTTTGTAAAATTGTTGCCAAACCATAATCCATCTTTGTAAGTTTCAAAATCCGGAGACTTGTTGGCGTTTGATGCATTTGTGTCTGGGACGAGCCTGCTAAAATTCGGTGGTTTCATCAAAAAATGTGTACAAAAATTATGACGAGCTCTGAAAAGTAGAAAAAAGTTGTGCTGTTTCCTGTAGGGTTTGCTCCATCCATCCATTACTTGGACTCCTTCTGAGGTTTGTTATGAAATTTTAGAAAAATTGTGAAACTTGGCCATCTTAGAAAGCATAGGTCGCAGATTTTGACTCTTTTCTGGAAGCTTATTGACTGTACTGCAACAACTTCATAATGGTTAGAAAGAGAATGAGATGCCGCATCAAATGCTACCAGAATCTCTTACATATCTTTGTTCTACGAGATGTGGCATACGTTTGAAAAAAGCGACATTACTTTTGGAACGACCTAATACTACCTGCGTGCCAGCGGCCATTTTTCTTTAAAATAAATTTTAAAGCTATAGGGGCACAGCAAGCACTGAATTCTAGGCTATATTCTTTCCATGAGTCTTCTATGCAAGCGTGTACTGGTGTTCGATCGATCGAGCAATTTCAATACTTTTCAGATTACGATTTTTCGCTCCCGTTCGCGCAATCGCATCCAGATTTCCAGCATACGAGTACACTTGCCTTTAATTAAAATTTTAATTTTTTTCCTAAACCTGCGAAAAAAAAATTCTTTGCAGTGCGTTGTAGCCAAAAGCTTGCTCTCTCACATCGCATATTTGCCTGGTGAAATAAACAGTTATCGTAAAGGCGTGGGACGAATTTCATCACGACTGTCTGCGTGCCACGACAGGCGGACTCGCCAAGATTTCAAAGGGCTGCTTTGAAGCCAGAAGAGGCAATCTCAAAATTTGAAAGCAGCGCTATATTAGTAAAGGTTCGATTTATGTGTGCACCAAATTTTTTGTTCCTAGGCACTTTCCTTCTGATTTTATCTGAAAAAGTACTAGGCTTCCAGACTTTTGCCCCACCCTGTACATCACACAATAGCAATTATTCACCTCCTGTAGTACACTCTGGCCTGTAGTAATCCCCCCGTCGTGATGGTCGCGACGTTGGAAACATCGCGCGTACCTGGCACATGTCGTTTCGGCCGCGATTCGTCCAGCGGTTATCTCTTATCACGCCGCGCGGCGAAATCGCTGGACGTCGTGACTGCAGGACATGCTCGTCCTCGTGCACTGAGGACAAGCACGTCGTGAATGTCGTCACCTAAACAGACAAAGAAAAATAGTGCGCCCACCGTGGAGGCGCAGGAAGGCGTAACCGAAAGGGTCGAGTACGCCGGGTTCGTCTTGTGCGCAAGGACCTTAGGCACACATCACTAGATTTAACGCACGTCAATTGCAATCGATATCAACAGCTGATAAGCGCCCAAATGTCAACGCGCTGAGGGACCTATTCGTTTTCTAAGCATTTCTGCTGCTTTTCTTGTAATTTGAAAAGGTGAGTTTATTATGACTACGATTTACTTCAAAATTCTATTTATTTATATCTTATCGTGTTTGAACTATTTTTTCTTTTTAATCCCACATCGCAACTCATTTGCGAAAATTTTCCTTCTGCTTGCCTTTCTCCCCTTACTTCTTCCATCTAAACACCTTTTATAACATTTATATGCTAAATTGCTGTTTAGCTGTGCGTCAAATGTTTCCCTTTTAATTTGATGGAGGGAACCTTCTGGCGTTATGGCTAATGAAACTCGCGTTCGCATCAACCGAAGTAGCGGTTGATTTACAGTATTCCAATTTTCTTATGTATTGTCAATAATATATGTTTTGCATTGCCATTTTTCGTGCTACCAAAAGAGTCAGCATTTGTTATCTACATAAAAACTAACTAGTTAGAAAGTT